GGTGGGGGTGGGGGTGGGGAAATCATTCTGTTTTGTAACACTGCTCATTAATATACATTGTTTATATTTTGATTTTAAATAAGTGTGCAAGAACAATTCTTTTAAATCTGCAGGTTCTAATGCACTCTCTCAGCTTCTACCCTGTCCAGCATAATCCAGGGCATATATTCCTTCTCCTGCTTTAAGAGTAGCGCTACAGATGTATAGCAAATTAACATCTACCTATCTGCCGTGGCTCATTAGTAAACTCCCTCATGAACTGGGGCATTCTCTATCTTTGTTGCAGCTGGTTAGTGCTCCTCCAGCCTTCTTGGATATTATTAGTTGCTAAGCAATAATCCTAGTGCTTACATTGTCTCCACTGATATGCAGAATAGAAGTAGATGTGTGTTTGGTTACAACTCTCGTCAAACACTTCTCTTTTAGGGCCATAAAACCAAGAAAAGAAAAGGAGGGTCAATAAATCAGGATTCTGAACAAGTTTATATGCAACTGTCTTTTGATCGAGTGACCTCTGAATTCAAGGATCATAAATTACAGCACTGGCCCAAGGACAAATTAATTCAGAAACTCACTTGACTATAGTTTCAAACAGGTACTGAAGTTTTTTAGCAGGCCTGTGCTTGAACATTCCTAAACCTTTTACAGATAAATTTATACATTCACTCAATAAATAATTATTGATGTGTCACTTTGTGCCCAGCACAGAAATTCTTTTTCAGGATTGTCTTCCTAAACTCTTCATAGAATTAAAAGCCTTTCAAATTCCCCCCCAATATGCATACCTTCACCCTTGTATTAATCCACCTTCTAACACACAAAGACCTATTCATTTATGCACTATAGGCATAAATGCTTTCAACTAAATAAGTAGGGGACACAAAAGAATTCCTTATTCATGTTTTGAAAGGTCCAGCCTTATTTCCTGCACTTAGTGCATGGCTCACTGCTGGGCATGGCCTCAGTACAACCCTATTTAAGGATATAAATAGGAATGAATTATAATCTACATTATAATAAGCCTTAGTAGAACCTTTCTTCACAAGAAGGCATGTAACATTAGTGGTACTGGCTCCTGATTAAACTGGTGAAAATTGACCCAGCAGGGCTATTCAACTAGATGTGTGATGTTCTTCTTAAACACGGGCCCTGTCTGAAACTCAGCTGGCTTGATCTTATCAGGATTTCTTAACATTTCTACATAATGTAGAATGACTACTGTGAAAGCAGAGGAAAAGAAACACTACTAAATACTAGTAGAATTAAATTTAATGCTATAGGAAAAGGCATTTTCCTACAAAACTTTGTTAATCTTAGGCTGTGTAATGAGAACAGAGCTGAGCAAATTGAGTTTTTGAAAAAAAAGATTTCTCAAAATGCAAGTTAAGATCATAGCCTTAAATGTAAAATAATCAGGGTAAAGACAAGAGAAATTCATATGGTACATTTAACCACAATATTTTCTATGCAAAGATATATATTTGAGCATATTCAGGGAGCTGCCTGGCAAAATAACATCATTTTGAGAAATATATAACAAGGATAGAGACACTTCTTTTCACTTGTATATTGCATTGCATTTAATATTGCAACAAGGAGCTGCAATGTTTCAGTATATTTCATATTCTGGGATGTGATATATACTAACAAAACATGATATAAACAAACAAAACACACTTTCCTCTACTATACATGGAAAAGTGATAACATAAATTGAAAGTACAAGAACAGGAAAGACCAAAAACTCTTGATTGATATGTTTTCAAGAGAGGCAATAAATTGCATGCGGGAATACATGTGAAGTTTTACAGCTGCAAATCTGGCCATAACTGATTAATGTGAACACCTAATTAAATTTATAATAAATTACATAGATCACAGTTCTGTTTGGCATGTTTAAAATGAAAGAGGTCATTTATTACCCTGGCCCAAGTGATTAAGGTAAAGGCAAAGTGTATGTATGGGGTAGCGGTGGTAGAGTACGCGGAAGTGAGGAGGCAGTAAAATCAAGAAATTGGTATGGGGCCCCGCCGGGCGTGGCTCAGCGGTTGAGCATTGACCTAGGATCCAGGGTTTGGAGGTTCAATTCCCGGTCAGGGCACATGCCTGGGTTTCAGGCTTGATCCCTGATGGGGGAGCACACAGGAGGCAGCTGATCAATGACTCTCTCATCATTGATGTTTCTCTCTCTCTCTCTCTCCCTCTCCCTCTCCCTCTCCCTCTCCCTTCCTCTCTCTGAAATCAATAAAGATATATTTAAAATAATAAAATAAAAATAAAACTCAAAATTTTAAAAAAAATTTGGTATTGGGGATGAGGGGGAGACAGGCAAAGAAACTTTTTAAAAGTGGGTGATGCTGTGGAAATTGTCCTAACTTTACAATAACAACAGAATAAGTGTTGGAAAGTTTGGTTCTTAATGTGTACATATTAAAATGTGTATTAATAAGAAGAAATAGTCAATCATTGCTTAAATTGGTTAAAAAGACAGAGAAATACTTTGTAGAAAAGTAAGTACCTAAAATTTATAACTAGCATCTTTATAGCAATTTATAGTTTGGAAAACACTTCAATAATTATTATTGTAATTCAGCCTAGCACAGTGTATCACACACTAAACACTCAATACTTGTAAACTAAATTGAAAGGAATTTTAGTTAATTGAAATTGTTAAATTGTAAATATTGTAAAAAAATGTCTGCCACACAGGATTTCACTAAGTATCTGAAATTAGAAGAACTAGTGAAAGGAACAAATGTCTTGCCCATTTATTTGTTGCCTTCTTGATCATAATACATCTTCAATCTGCATAATTATGTGGGGTTTTGGTTAAGGATGGGGCCAGAAGTCAAACAGAGTAAATGTGTGATCATGTGCATGGGTAAAAAGAAGAAACAGAAAAATAATATGCAGGCCTAATCACTATAGCTCCTCATTTTATGTTTGTATTAATGGCTGGTATGGTATGTGTCAGTCAGCAATCTTAGCTAATTTTTTCTTTTAGTACAAGATGAACAGTTATCAAATTGCCTTAAAAGTATTAATAGAAGTTAAAGGGAATACATTTTAAACTATTTTCTAAACTGCACTTAAAACACTTCTAGGGCAAAATCTTGAGAAATGCATCTTTAATAAAAACTACATAATAGTTTTAAGTTCTATTGTGCAGGGCAGCAATTCTCAAACTTTTTCATCTCAGGGTACACATAAACTAATTACTAACATTCTGCAGCACACCAAAAAATATATTCTATTTTGTGTGGATCTGACAAAAAATATAGGCATAATTTTGATTCATTCACACCAGATGGCTATTGTCATGTTGGCTGTTGTCATTTTTGTTCTGTTTTGTTAATTCTCATCAGAGGATATTTTTTCCATTGATTTTTAGGGAGTGCGAGGGAGGGAGCAAGAGAGGGAGGGAGGGAGAGGAACATCGATGTGAGAGAGATACATCGATTGGTTGCCTTCCACATGCACCCCGGCAGAGGGTGGGGGATTGGACCTGCAACCCAGGCAAGTGCCCTTTACCAGGAATAGAACCTGACACCCTTCAGTGTGAGGGCTGATGATCTAACCACTGAGCCACATCAGCCAGGGCAGTTGTCATTTTTAAAATTTGACAATCTAAGGGAAAAGAGGCCAGTGCCCCTTACTAGTCAGACATTGCATGTTTTATTTTTTTGTTGTTTGTTTGGTTTGTTTGTTTTTTAAAAAATATATCTTCATTGTTTCAGAGAGAGGAACAGAGAGGGAGAGGGAGAGAGAGAAATAGGAACATCAATAATGAGAGAGTCATTGATCAGCTGCCTCCTGCACACCCCCTACTGGGATCAAGCCCAAAACCAAAGCACTACTCTGGCCAGGAAATCAAACAGTGATCTCCTGGATCATAGGCCGATGCTCAACCACTGAGCGACGCCCAGCTAGGCAGATATTGCACGTTTTAAATATTCTTGTGGCACACCAGTGTGCGTGCCATGGCATAAAGGTTGAAAATCACTGCTGTAGGGGAATGGCTAGTTCTCTACCTTGGGATTTGACTTCATTTGTTGCTTCTTTTGCCACATTTTTGCAGGTATCTGACTCAGAACTGTGTGGTGGATTCTGTGAACTCTGAAAAGAAAAAAAAACGTTTCAAAACAAGTTGCTCTTCTTCAAAGTTGCATCAACTCTTCCAACTAAAGAATGCAGATAATACCTTGTAGGAGTTGCCAAACATTCCTACTTAATTTTGCTAGGGTTTAATGTTGTATATTAGAAGCAACACAGTAATCATAGTCTATTTACTGCATTCATAAGATAAAATGTATTGGCTCAATGTGCTATCACATCTTCCTATTGGTAACAAAGTAATATGCTACAATATTATGCTACGTGTACATTAATCTTTGAATTATACAATACTTTCTAGAAACATAATTTGAGATCACAGCATAGTGAAATCAGATTTTTGAAAATGTTACTTTCTTTTACTATTGGAATCATCTTCCATGTTTGTGGTGGAAAGGAAAACATTTCCTCTTAATTGAGGAAATGAAAGGTTAGTTTTATGAATAACTAGTGGCAAAATAGCTTTCTGTACTCATGACAATGTACTTTAAAAAGAAGAATAATAGAATATTTTAGAGACTCACGTTAGTCAACTTAATGGTGAATCCATATAACTATTTTCAGTTGCCTCCCCTTTTCTGTAAAATGCTTTCTTACGTAAGTCTTGTATTTATTTAAACAGAAAGTTACTTAAATGATTAACATGGAAATTACAGAATGACCATGAAATTACCCTAAAAACTGGTGGTTATTGTACTTAGGGTATAATAGTTCTGATTTTAGAAAGCAATACTTATTTGTATATAATTCATAATAGCCCTTCACAAATAATTTATCTGTGGAAGCATCCTGCAACTGATTTAAATGAGACAGTTTAATTTTTCCATTTGCCATTTTGTTTGTCCGTTTGAATAACCACATCTTTTCTTTTCCTTCTTTCATAAGAAAATTAATTTGTTCAGTTTACTCTCCAGCATTAACATCTGATTTTTCATGAAAACTCTACCTCAGTAAGCTCATTCACTTCAGTTGCTTCTTGTTTCCTTTCTTTGTCTTTTCCATTTTCCTGAAATGGAAACAGTGTTAATAAGTATTATCCAGAAAGAACTGGAGATAAACTAACATCTTATACTCTAGTATAGCAAGCTTTTTATCTTAAAAATTTTCACATAACAAGTAAACATCATACCAAATAAATTCACACCAAGGTAGTGTATTAACAAATTCAAACAGTAATAGGCTCATTAATATATAAGGAATGTCAACCAACTAGAAGCAGTTTCCTGCTTCTTAGTTGACCCCTTTTTTGCAGCATTTTTGTCAAAACATGATGCAGAATACTTCAACTAAAAAGAGAAATAATTAAATGATAGAGTATAATATTTCATTTCAATTCTCTCAAGAAAGCTGAATCTCAAATCCTTCCATGGTTAAGTGGTTAGAAATCTATTTAGGCCAGGTACCTGGGCAGGCTTGGTTTCCTCTTGAGAACCTGACTCACTCATCTGGACCAGTAGAAAATATCGTCAAATGGTAGGGAAAAGTATTACCAGACCATTATTAATAACAAAAAAAGAGAAAATATATATTAATAAACAACAAAAAGTGCTCTGAAAGATCAAAATCTCCCCCAACCCCCACTACATCCCACCATTCCATTGAATGGTAATAAGTTCTCAACTGTTAAATTTTTCAAACTGGACTACTGTTACTACTGTTACTACTGTTATTACTGTTATTACTGACCAAAGCTAGATTAATGCTAGGCTAGTGCTCAGGGATACAGGAAAACTCACTCCAGTAATCATCATCATCATCATTAAAAAAAAAACAACACAAAAACCAGCAACAGTAATGCAATTGAATTTTTAAAAACATTGTTATTATCCTCATTAATCAAGATGAGGTGAAGTGAAACTTGGGTGGCTACCTCGTTCATGTGAGAAAGGCCGACAGAAATCAGAATAATAATCTCACTGAAAAAGCATTTTTTTGAAGGGATATTCTGAGAGGAATGTGATTTATCTGGTTTATTTATTCATATTAGGAGTTAAAATGGATAATTACCAGGTCCTTACTTCATTGCAAACTATTATAGATTCAATCACATATTATCAAAATCACTTCTGTGCCAAAACTCATTTAAGAGTTTGTGTATATTTAGGCTAGGTGCTATGTAAAAAGCAAATTTTATATTCATGGCCTCTGCCTCTAGGGCGATTACAATCTAGGGACTGTAATCTGAAATGGTATGTGCTAGAGTACTCGCCCTTTTTATCAACTTAACTCATGTTCTAGTTGGATAAACCAGAAGTACTGCCTTTGGAGACAACAGATTCCAACACTTTTTTAAAAAGCTGCCTCAAAGCCTTTTTGAAGCAGTTCATAAATAGTATGAACTAGATTTCTTTGATAGGTCCCAATCCTACATGCTCACAGACTTTCTTTGCTTATGGCGTCCATCTCCTGAAATTGCTAAGAAGCATCCTCCCATTTCTTTAAAAACCTGTTTTGTTTGGATGCACCCAGATAAATTCAACTCAACAAACCTTTATTGGGTGCCTTCTATATGCAGGTAGGCACGGGGGTTAAAAATATGAATGAGACCTGCCTTTGAAGAGCTCCCAGTTTAGGGAGGGAAAAGGGAACAAACAGATGCAATTCGATCCACAAAGGGCAAATGTAGAGGTACACACAAAATGTTAAGGAGCACAGAATAAATAAATAATATACTTTCCCAGAGAGATCAGGGAACTTTTCACAGAAAAACAGATTTTCAAGCTGGATTCAAGGGACTAGTAAGACCTTTCTGTATAAAGGAGCGGGGAAGATGATTTGAGGCAGAAGAAACAATACACACACAGGAGGATATGGAAGTTCAATAAGTGTTTGGAGCATTCACGTAGCAGAGCATAGTTACATTAAAGAAAGTGGCAGAAAGGGAGGCTAAAAGGTGTCAACCAACGGTTGTTGGCACCAATTCAATGCCAACAGGAAGCCCTAATTTGGGGTGCAATGAAGAAAGAAACTTCAGTGCAAAACCGCTCGATTGTGATACAGCACAGCTGTGAAAACATAGTGTTACAGCTCAATTATGGAGCAGCATGGCTGGGAAAAAGCGTGGCCGGGAAGAGGCCCTGGGGCAAGCGGGCCCTGGGGCAGGCCCCTCTTGGGCAAGGCAGCTCTGCTCTGCTCAGCTCAGCTCCAGCGGCTCCACACTGCTCTGCCTTGCTCTGTCCCACTGATGAGTAGGAAGTTGCATATAGTCTCACAGGTAGAGCATTTCTGAGGTATGTTCTATACTGTCTCCTAGAGTTCCACAATGGGATTGAGCTTCAGTTGCCCACAGTGAAACCTGCCCAATAATGCAGACTTCCCTCCTTTCCTGTATTACTTCCCTACTCCCTTACCACTGTTTTCTGGAACTACCTCCCAAACAAACTTGTACTCAACATTTTAGATCAGGGTCTGTTCTGAGGGAACCCAAGCAAAAAACAGCTACAGTGATCAGGATTGGGGCACAATTGGATCTAAGCAGCGAAAGAGGAGGTTAGTTAAGGTTCACTGAGTGTTTTCTTTCTTTCTTTCCATGTTTAGAAGAGTGAATGGATGGTGATGCCAATTTATTGAAATAAGGTGCCCTGGTCGGTTTGGCTCAGTGGTTAGACCGTCGGCCTGCAGACTGAAGGGTCCCAAGTTAGATTCCCGCAAAGGGCATGCACCGTGTTTGCAGGCTTGATCCCTGGCCCCAGTTGGGGCTCGTGCAGGAGGCAGCCAGTTGATGTGTGTCTCTCACATTGATGTTTCTCTCTCTCACCCCCCTTTCCACTCTTTCTGAAAAGCAATGAAAAAAATATCCTCAGCTGAGGATTAAAAAAAGAAGAAATAAGGAAAGGAAAGAATAACAGGTTTGAGGAATATACAAGTTTGAGTTTGGAGGTATTATATGTAAGCTACCTACTTGATAGCCTGATAGAAGTTTCCAGTAAGAATCTGAATGCCACTGAAATATATTATGATGCATTTGCAGGAAGTTATGCAGAATAAAGTTCATTGGAAAATGATGGAAACATTGTCCAGTCTGAACAGCATTAATTTGCATTTGAATTACTGAAAATATGTAGTATTCTGCACACCTCACACTCCCACCCATGATTCTAGAGTCATTGCACTTAGGTTGTTGGCTGTGAGCTTGCCTTTGTAAATCTAGTCAAGGACTCTCCACACACACTCTCAATAGATTTGGGAACTGGCTAAGTGTGTGTATACCACTGGTTCCAGCCACCATTACCACCTAGTGTAGTCCCTAGCCACTTGACTGAAGGTATCATTAAAGACCCCAATAGACCTTGCAGCCACTGTGAACTGCCCATAGCTCTTACCAATGATCATACAGTTGTTGATGTCATGGACACCAGCTTCTCTCAGCTGACTGGACACTACTATGCCCCCCAACTCAGAGGTACTACATGTCCTCACACATGTCCTGCACCACTAGACCTAGGGTCACAGCATGTTCCAGCATGCACCTTCCCATGGATGAAGGTCTTTTTTTTACCAAAGTCAGTCCATAATACCTGGAAGAGGTGATTGCTTCTTTAAATGCACAGACACCTACAAAGGCTATAGGGATCACAAAGAATCAGGGAAACATGATATTAACATAGGAACACAGTAAACTTCCAGTGATGGACCCCAAAGCAGTGAGATTCACAAAATGCCTGACAAAGAATAAAAAATAATTGTTCTGAAGATGCTCAGAGAACTACAAGAGAACAAAGATAAATAATTTTTATTTTTTAAAAAATATATCTTTATTGATTTCAGAGAGAGGAAAGGAGAGGGAGAGAGAGAGATAGAAACATCAATGATGAGAGAGTCATTGATCAAGCCCGCAACCGGGCATGTGCCCTGACCGGGAATCGAACCCCGATCGCCTAGATCCTAGGTCAACACTCAACCGCTGAGCCATGCCCAATCGGGCAAATAATTTAATGTAATAAAGAAAACAATACAAGAATGAAATTATAAATTCCACAAAGAGACAGAAAACATAAAAAAGAACCAAACAGGAAAATTTGAGCTGAAGAATACAATGACTGAAATAAAGAATTCATAGAGAGCTTCAACAACATACTAGAGGAAGCAGAAGAATCTGTGAACTCAAACACAGATCATTTAAATTATCCAGTCAGAGGAAAACAAATTTTTAAAAAATGAAGAGGGATGAAGAAAGCCTTTAGACTTATGAGACACCATTAAAGAGAAACAATCTATACATTATGACAGTCTAAGGAGAGGGAGAAAGGGGCAGGAAGCTTATTTTTAAAAATAATGTCTGAGAACTTCCAAAATCTGAAGAGGTCTGGTCATCCAAGTTCATGAAGCTCGGAGGTGTGCAAACAAATTCAACCCAAACAGATCTTCTGCAATGTGCATTATAATAAAAGTCAAAAATTAAAGACAAAGAAAGAATCTTGAAAATAGCAATAGAAAATGAGCTTGTCACTTACAAAGGAAGACCATAAGAGTATCAGCAGATTTCTCAGCAGAAACCTTACAGGCCAGGAGAGAGTGGGATGTTATATTCAAAAAAGAGCTGAAAGAAAAAAAACTTCCATCCAAAGTTATCCTCAGAAATGAAGGAGAGATAAAAGTCTTCATCAGACAAACAAAAGCTGAGGGATTTCATCACCACTAGAACTTCCTTACAAGAAATGCTGGAAGAAGTTCTTCAAGCTGAAATGAAAGGACACTAATTAGTAACACGATAACATATAAAACTATAAAATGCACCGGTAAATATAAATATATAGTCAAATTCAGAATACTCCAATACTATGATATGGTGGTATGTTAATCACTTAATTCTAATGCAAAGGTTAAAGGACAGAAGTATTAAAAATAACAATAGCTGCCCTGGCCGGTTTGGCTCAATGGTTAGAGCATTGGCCTGAGGGTTCAGGGTCATGGGTTTGATTCCTGATCAAGGGCACATACCTGGATTGCAGGTTGATTCCAGGCCCTGGTCAGGGCGCCTTCGGGAGGCAACCAATCGCCGTGTCTCTCTCACATCAATGTTTCTCTCTCTATCTCTCTCTCTCTCTCTGTCTTTCTTTCCCCCTCTGTTCCACTCTCTCTAAAAAATAAATGGAAAAAATATCCTCTGGTGAGGATTAAAAAAAAAGAATCCCCAGTGGTTAGAGCATCGGCCTGAGGATCGAAGGGTTGCAGGTTCAATTCCAGGTCAAGAGCATGTACCTGGGTTGCTGTTTCGATTCCCAGCCAATGTCAGTGTTTAACCACCAAAGACAAAATGCATACATTTACCATAAAGAGAAGTATAGATATAGTGATAATCAGATATTTTGACCCTTAGTGATCTTTGTGGCTAAATGATTATGGTGGTCCTAAGAATAAAATAGATGGGCAGTTTACTAAAATGTTGATTATCTACACATAATATTAAAAATCCACATATGGTGGCCAAAAATATTACTTTAGT